GGTGTACGTGGCTGGAGCCTTAGCCGGTTGAGCTATGGGCGCCGAGCCAAGCACTTCGATTTCTCATCTGCTGTTTGATCTTGGTTTTGTTTTTTAGGAATAGGGTCTTACTCTTTTACCTAGGTTGGTCTCAAACTCCTGGCCTCACACAATCCACCTACTTTGGCCTCCCAAAGTACTGGGATTATAGGCACGAGCCACCACAACTGTCCTTATCCTGGTTTTGAGAGATCCACTGGCATCGTCTCTGTGCCACAAAGTCCCATTTTCAGAAACCAGATCATCTCTTCCACTATTGCGTATCCAATACTACTTTTTTTTCATCTTTCTTCTCCCAGTTTGTTCTGCTGTTTTCTACTTATTTTTCCGGGCACTAGGGAGTCAAATTGAATCTACCTTCTTTGAGTTTTATCTTTCTAGTTCTGTTACAGTCTGTCAGTGTTTTGGTCCTTTAAAAAGCGGTCTTTAATGTCCTTGTCTTCTTAATTGCCACCCAAAATGAGGCCAGTAGTATCTCATGTCTGGAATGTTGTATTGATTAGCCAGATTTCTTCATTTAATTCTTTATTCTTTTTTTTTTTTTTTTTTTGAGGCAGAGTCTCAAGGTATTTCCCTGGGTAGAGTGCCATGGCATCATAGCTCACATTAACCTCCAACTGTTAGGCCCAAGCGATCTTCTGGGTCTTGCTTTTCTCAGGCTGGTCTTGAACTCAAGAGCTCAAGCTGTCCACCCACCTTGGCCTCCCAGAGTGCTAGGATTACAGACATCAGCCACTGTGACTAGCCTGTTTTATTCTTTATTCTAAATCATCTTGGATGTTACTGTCAGATATGTTTCCCTGAGTATCCAAGACATTCCTTATATTATTAGGATTGTTTTAGCTCCAACTTCTTTTATCAGTTCTAAACCAGCCAATTGAATAAGAAGTGATTTATTATTACACATCACACAAAATGGGGCAACTCTAGGGTCAACTAAGTGATTGACTAACTAAATAAATCATCAAGGGCCCATCTAGGTATGTCAGCATTTTTCTCAGGTTACTGCCTATAATGTTCATCAGGTGGCTATTAAGTTCCAGCTGACACATGTAGATATACCAGTGGCTGATGGACTAAGAAGGGCTGCTTTACCCAAGTGACTAAAGCAGTAAAATGTATATCACAGGAAGCTCCCAGCTAGATAATTTTTTTTTTTCTTTCAGTTTTTGGCCAGGGCTGGGTTTGAACCCACCATCTCCGGCATATGGGGCTGGCGCCCTACTCCTTTGAGCCACAAGTGCTGCCCCCAGCTAGATTTTTATCATATGCCCTTGTCTAAAGATGTCTCTAGCAAAGGAAATGGGGTCGTCACTCTTAGCTCAGATAAATTGTGCTTTACCTTGTGGAAGTGGGGATGGGAATAGGGATGAGTTCTCACTTCCCTGACTGAAATACATTGCCTTAAGGATGGTATGGAAAATCATATTAGGATGGTATTGAAAAAGATTAGGTGTCATAAGGACAGTATTGGAAATCATAAGGATGGTATTGGAAAACATTAGGTGTCTGCCACCCAGGAAGAGGGCAGAAGAACCTCTGGGTAGGCAGCACTATCAGTCTTCCCCTCCTTCCTTGGCCAGGCAGCAGCCTGGCATTACACGCTTTTCTCCAGCCATCCATCTTCAAATATATGCTGTAACCCACATTTTAATTCTTGTACTACATTAATGAAAGTATAGGAACCTATTCCTAATGGTTCTTCATAGCATGGAGGCCTAAATAAAAGGTTTGTCTACATATTGCCATCTGAATATGGAAGAACAGAGAAAAGTACAGGGTTTCCTTGTCCCAGAGGACAGCAGCACTCAACACCACATAGCAGGCACTGGGACCCAGCATTGAAACCCTGGTCAGGCAGGCTTTGCCAGCATGTCCTTCTGTAGCCCTGATGTCAGCTTCTTGGGATGTTTATTTCTGTTTTCTGAGCATAATTTCCTTTTTCATTATCTAGTGTTAAACTCAACATGGTTATTGGAGAAAATACTTTTCCTATTGGTACATATTTGGGTTCCCAGAAATTACCTTTGGACCCCAGACAGTAATCATGTTAAATCTTTAAGCTTAAGAATTTGTGTATTCTCATAACTGGGTTTAGTATTTTTTCCTCATTTCTTGAATTCTCTGAAGTACCACCCATAATCTTATTTTTGCCTTTGTTAATACAAAGAACATGCTCAACAGAAGGAAGATGCATCAGATTTCCTGGGAAATCAAATGATTGTTGTGGGAACCAAGGAAAGGTAAGAATGTGTATGGTACCCGCAATGGAAGGATCAGAAGTATAAAGTGTAGGTTTAGATTGTTAGGATAGTTTCAGTGTCCATGAACTCTGTAAGTCTATGGGGATAATAGTGACTGCTAAACACAGGAGCAAATCTGATTCTAGGGCAAGGAGTAATTATTCACTGGCCTATTTTCTTTTTGATGAAGACATTTTTGACTATAGCATCATGTAATAGCCAGTAACACTCTTCCCAAGCCATTGTGATAGCCAAAAGTACCTGTATTCATTTCTCAGTGTATCTGAGGAAGATACTGCAGAGATTGGGTATTAAAGTCTGGGGACGTATAATTTGGTGCTTGTACTTAAAGTGAATAAGACAGATCAGATTTAATGTGGAGGAAAATAACTTGCTTATTTTTTCACAGAAAACCTTGAATGAATTATTAAGATGCTCTGGTCTGCTGTCTTCAAACCTAACTTGCCGCTCAATGTCCTTTTGTGTTCATTATCTGGTCAGCATCTAAATTGTAATCATTTTCTCTTCTTTTCAATCTCCAGGTATTTGCTGTTGTACCTGGGTCTTGTTTCCTATCTAGTTTGTATCTTTGACTTTTTTTTATATTACAACAGTGGTCTGCTTATCCTATACCTTCACTGTTTTCTATTCTAGCCAGAGACAACCACTTTCATCTCTTTTAACTCTTTCCTATAGTACTTGACTCCCTAGTTCTAAATGACCAAATTATTCTATTGCATCTTGGCTTTTCTCCTTGATATTAGTTAGTATTGAAGGTGATTTAATACTCTTTCACCCTCCTGTCCCCACATCTTCCCACCACGTGTGCACTGTCTCTTCCCATGCATCATGCATCCACCATTCTAATATAGTAACTTCATATTTTTGGTTAGATCAGTCTTTGGTCTTTACATTATTATGACTGTGTAATTTCTGTTTCCAGGTAATTCATGCAAAGTATACAATGGTTAATTTTTCTTATACATTTTTACTTTTCTGTAGTCAATTGTTTTATTTCCCTATGTGTCTAACTTAAGCTCACACTCTCCTTTTGATGTATACATATTCTTGTTTGGTACATTTAGCCAAATTATTAATTCTGTACATTTCATCTTCCCAGTGACATCACTCCAAAGTCTTTCTGACTTGCTCCAGTGTAGCCTAGTTTTTCTCAAGGCCTGCTGTACAATTTTTATCCTAGATCTCCTTTTTAATTCTATTTTTTATATGTTCTTTCATCATTTCTCTTGGTTTGTTTTATTGCGGCACTTCCTCCAAGAGCTTCCTGTGAAAGGGTGCATGTGATATAAATGTGCATGTGAAAATGATTTTACTTTTCTTCCCCTTGTTCTATTTTTTATCTTCTAGTGTTCCTAATAATAAATCTGTTGCCATTCTAATCTTAGGTTTGTTATAAGAAGTTTGGGGATTTTTGTTCCTCTGAAAGTTTTTAAGAGCTTCTTATTGCAATTGTTCTGAAATTTTATGATGTTGCTTATGAGTCTGTTTTCATCCATTTGTTTAGATATTCAGTGACATGTTATTCTTAAGAATATTGGAAATTAATCTACAGTTTTGTCATTTTTCTATCAGTTAGCACAGTGTTTGGCACATTATAAGGATTCAATAATATTTGATCAAATGTTCAGAGATCCCTTACAATCTTGTTATATTCTCATTGTTCTGTGTGTCATTTTTGCCTTAATTACCCATTACGTAAAACCATTAACCTTAAAACTATTACAGTTTACTATGCTTATATTCAATTTTTGTTTTGCTTTGTTTTCCCCAGTGCTTAGTAGTTTAGGTACATTTACACTTGAGGTTTTATTTATATTAAGATCTCATATCTGAAACTAAAGGAAATCTCATGATATGACATTTTAAGTCCATTTTGTACTATATGAGATTATGTTTTTAATCTACTTATTTATTAGATACAAAGTCTCTGTTACCCTGGCTGGAATGCAGTGGCCCCATCACAGTTCCCTGTAACCTTGAACTCCTAGCCTCAAGTGATCTTCCCACCTTAGCTTCTTGAGTAGTTGGGACTACAGGTGTGTACCACCATGGCTGGCAAATTTTTAATGTCATTTTTAGAAATGGAGTCTTGCTATGTTGCCCAGGCTGGTTGAGAACTCCTGGTTAAAGTATCCTTCACCTTGGCCACCCATAGTGCTGGGATTACAGGCATGAGCCACTATACTTGACTTCATGTTATTATTTTTAACATATGACTTACTATTTTCATTTCTAGATAAAATCTGGGAAATTGATGACCATATCAAATGGCATCAGGAAAACCAAGGCAATCTGGGAAGTATGGCAAAAAGCTATGAATGTACTACATTTGGAAAACTATGTTTTCTTAGTCAAAATTACGTTTCTTCACAACAAAAACCTCATAAATGCAGCATACTTGGAAAGAGTTTGAAATATAATATAGATTTCTCTAATTATGCTGGAAAGAATCCTAATGTATTTTATGTACATCAGGAATCATTCCTCCATTCGAAACATGAGCAAAATGTTATTGGAATAAAATGCTGTGAAAGTAATGAATCTGAAAAAGCTGTCAGTGAGAAGTCCCAACTTATATGCCAAAAAACCTTTGTGGGAGGAAAGCCCTTTGGATGCAATTACTGTGAGAAAGCCTTTAGCAGCAAGTCATATCTTATGGTGCATCAGCAAACTCATGCAGAAAAGCAGCTCTATGAATGCAATGAATGTGGGAAATACTTCAGCAGTGAATCATACCTCAGTGTACATCAGAGAATTCATTCAGGAGAGAAACCTCATGAGTGCAGTGAATGTGGGAAAACATTCTGTCTCAATTCACAGCTTACTATACATCAGAGGATTCACACAGGTAAAAATCCCTATGAACGCTACGAATGTGGGAAATTCTTCAGTAGGAAAGACCAGCTTATTTCACATCAGAGAACTCATTCAGTACATAAACCCTATGGTTGTAATGAATGTGGCAAATCTTTTGGTTTAAAATCGCAGCTCTTTATACATGAAAGAGTCCATACAGGAGAGAAACCATATGAATGCAGCGAATGTCATAAAGCCTTTAATACAAAGTCAAACCTTGTGGTACATCAGAGAACCCACACAGGGGAAAAACCCTATGGTTGCAGTCAATGTGGAATAGCCTTTATGTTCAAATCACAGCTCATTGTACATCAGGGTACTCATACAGGAGTAAAGCCCTATGGGTGCATTCAGTGTGGGAAAGCATTCAGTTTGAAGTCACAGCTCATTGTACATCAGGGAAGTCATACAGGAATGAAACCTTATGTATGCAATGAATGTGACAAAGCTTTCCAGAGCAAGTCATACCTTATTATACATATGAGGACTCATACTGGAGAGAAACTCCATGAATGCAAGGATTGTGGGAAAGCCTTCAGTTTTAATTCACAACTCATTATACATCAGAGGATTCATACAGGAGAGAGTCCATACAAATGCTATGACTGTGAGAAAACCTTTAGTCGGAAGTATCAGCTCATTTCACACCAGAGAACTCATGCGGGGGAAAAACCCTATGAATGCAATGATTGTGGAAAAGCTTTTGGTTTAAAATCTCAGCTTATTATACACCAGAGAACTCATACAGGAGAGAAACCCTTTGAATGTAGTCACTGTCAGAAAGCCTTTAATACAAAGTCAAACCTTGTTGTACATCAGAGAACTCATACAGGAGAGAAACCCTATTGTTGTAGTGAATGTGGAAAATCCTTTACATTTAAATCACAGCTTATTGTACATCAGGAAATTCACACTGGAGTAAAACCTTATGCATGCAATCTCTGTGAAAAAGCCTTTAGTTTGAAGTCACAGCTCATTGTACATCAAAGAACTCATACAGGAGTAAAACCACATGGATGCAGTGAATGTGGGAAAGCCTTCAGGAGCAAATCATACCTTATTATCCATATGAGAACCCATACAGGAGAGAAGCCACATGAATGCAGTGAATGTGGGAAATCCTTTAGTTTCAACTCACAACTCATTGTACACCAGAGAATTCACACAGGTGAAAATCCCTATGAGTGCAGTGAATGTGGTAAAGCTTTTAATAGGAAAGAATTGCTTATCTCACATCAGCGAACTCATGCTGGGGAAAAACCTTTTGGGTGCAATGAATGTGGGAAAGCCTTCAGCAGCAAGTCATACCTCATTATACACATGAGAACTCATTCAGGAGAGAAACCATATGAATGTAATGAATGTGGGAAAGCATTCATTTGGAAGTCACTACTCATTGTACATGAGCGAACTCATGCAGGGGAAAATCTTTATAAATGCTGTCAATGTGAGAAATACTTCCGTGGGAAATTACAGCTCTCTGTACACCAGAGAATGCATACAAGAGACAAACCCTATGAATGCAGTGAATGTGGAAAAGCCTTTGTTAGGAAATCTCAGCTCATTGTACACCAGAGAACTCATTCAGGAGAGAAACCTTATGGGTGTAATGAATGTGGAAAAACCTTCTCTCAGAAATCAATCCTTAGTGCACACCAGAGAACACATACAGGAGAGAAACCCTGTAAATGCCCTGAATGTGGAAAAGCCTTTCGCTGGAAGTCACAGCTCATTATGCATCAGAGAACTCATGTAGATGACAAGCATGTTGATGAGTTCAGTGTGTGAAACATTTCTATCAAAATGTTTCTATTTCTATCAGTCAATTCCCAGAAGTTACCAACAAAATTACATGGGAGAAAAACTATACATGGAAATGTCTTTTCCTCCAGAAAACTCATACCAAACAGAAACTTTATGAATACACAGCATATGCAAAGGCATCCACAGAGAGCTATTCTTTACATGCAAAAAGATGTTAGGAAATGTATATAGGAATCCTGTGAATTTAGTAAACCCTGTGAAATTTTTCAGTATTAAGTCATATCTTTTTAATCAGTTTATACAGGTGAAGAACCATATGAATGAAATGGATAATGGAAAGTTGTTAATATAGAGTAATATTCACAAAGAGAAAACTTCATGAAGCAAATGAAAATAGATGTCTTTATTATCAAACAACATTTTTTTTTAATTGAGACAGAGCCTCAAGCTATGCCCCTGGGTAGAGTGCCCTGGCATCACAGCTCACAGCAACCTCCAACTCCTGGGCTCAAGCGAGTCTCCTGCCTCAGCCTCCCAAGTAGCTGGGACCACAGGCGCCCA